AAAAAAGACTGAAAAAGGCAGGTACGTTTGCACGGGCTTACCGGGGGGGTCTTCGTTGACCACCGCCCCCCGGGGCCCCGGTGGTCCCCTGCAATGTTAAAAGCAACTCAGACCTTGGCAAACAGGTGTTCCACACACACACACACAGACAGAGACAGAGACACAGAACCACAGAGACACAGACAGACACAGACACAGACACAGACACAGACAGACACACACACACACACACACCTAACTCTGCCTACCTCTCCCGCAACTTGCGATTCCACTGTCCGGCCCGCAGCTGCAATGTCTGGTGGGTCCATGCGACTGTGCGACAGACACGCTAAGTCCTCTCAAGGTACTTTACCATGCTAGGGTGTATTATACACGGCATGTGTGGTATGTACAAAGCGTCCAATCATTCACTATATTATTGAACATCGATGAATGTCGATGATATCCAGTGCTTGGACGAGCGGCGTAACGAAGTGAAGGCTAGAATACAGAACAAAGTTGACCGAAAATGTCGTGGTACGAAGCACTGAATTTCCGGGGAATTTGATGCAGTACGAAACCATACTTTTCCCAAGATTCCCGGAATTTCCTTCGGCACGAGACCCCGAAATTATCGGATGCAAATCCGAAGCCGGAGGAAGCGCGCAGCGTTTTATAGAGCAAATAAACATATTGGGAGCATCTGTTTTCAGCTTATTAATTTCCGCTAAAGATTCATATCAAGAATGTGGGTCTGTGCATATGCACATGGGTACTTGTCGGGCTGCATTGTACACTGGTTCCTATCATTGTATTTATCGAGGAAAGAGCTTCTCGCACGACAAGTTTCGCGTTTGGCCGTTGTGTGGACTTGAACATCTCGGTAAGGTCCGACGCTCAGGTTGAGGGTCGAGCTGATCGTGCGCATGCGCAGAAAGATCTGCTCTTCCGCCACACATTGGGATGTTGGCTTGCTTTGCAAGCAACAAACCTCAGATTGAAAGCACCTGTACAGTCTTGACTGCTGTCGCCAAGCTTCAGCCGCGGTCACAATTCCTCTGGCCTCCTCAACATCCACCAGCCTTGCCATGCCACGACAACTAGTGGAAAAAGAGTCTGGGATGCCCCGTTCTGTGTGAACGTCGCCCGCAGTCTGGACTTTTCTTTCAGCAGGCAATACGATCAAGGAGTGGGTTCAGAAGCCACCGCCAAAGGCCCAACAGCTGACCTATTCCGATGATTGAGGTTCTGGTCAAACGAGGGTCGCTGGTAGACTTCAGCGGCGAAGCTTTCGGATGCATTGGTGGTTCCTTCAAGGCATGAGTCCCACCAGCTCTCCGGCCCCTTAGCAACATCTGCCAGGGTTGGATGAGGAATTCTGACCTTCTGACATCTTCTGACTTTGGACTCTGCTGGGGTTGTGGCTTTGTGGTTGCGCTGTAGTCCTCCCAAACTACATCAATACAGGCCCGACAAGCTCAACCAACATTGCTTCGCACCCAAGTGCTGATTCAGCCTCTGGGAAACTGAGCAGCGCAAGGCGCGTGATCCCTGTCCATCGAAACAGTGCTGCACACTACGCTGATCTTATCATATCAACCAGACTCTCGCCTGGCAGCCTGTTTGCGCCCAGCGCTGTGCATCTGCTCACCTGCCAACAAAAGATGGGACGGTGCTGGAAGTCTGGATGAAAGCACTGCCTTCCGCTGGGCTCCTTTCCCACCTTCGCTTCAGTCAGTCATGTCCAAGGGAAAGGCGAATAAAGCGGGGTCAGTCTAAGTGGATCGCGAATCGAGTGAGCTCTGCGATGCTAATGGCCTCCAGTAGGCAAGCGAAGTACTCAGCTTTAGAGGTGTGTTCATTTCGCCGCCACTCAGCTCCTGGCACCTGACTTGTCCATGTCCAGCATGGCACACAACCTTCACGGTCGCAAGTGCAAGGAACAAATGTCTCGTTGTGGGGGGGGGGGGGGCATGAAGATGCCGTGGTGGTACCTCCATATCTGCTCATCCGTGATGACAGTGGGCGGGATCCTGCTACCGAGCCATGACTTGAAATCCACTGCATTTGCACTTCAAAAGTGTCGCTTCCTCATAGCTCTGCGTAGAACCTGGCGAACTTCATCCACCTGCATGGCTTGGTAGTGCTGGGGCATTTGAACTGTCATGCGAAGCAGCCCAGCAGAAAGAGGTGTCTTGCTTGCTTGTGCCTCCAGCACCCCAGAGCCGTTGTAGTCGAAACGCGAAAATAATGCCTAGCCGCAATAGCAAGCAGAACATGCCGATACATGCCAATAGCACGAACCAGAGTTTCCGGCTTGGATCTCGCGACCCATTTGCCCAGCGTACGAGGCAGCCTGCAGTGGACGGGCAAGTCTCCGTCGCGGCTGCGGATCAGCCAGCTCCCTTGTGCAACTTCTTGGGCCTGCCCCCATGCGTTTGAACACAGTGATTTCCCAAACACGACTTGCTTTATGCCCCCGCTCGTCATGCTTAATGTTTTTAGGGTGTACACCTTATGTGTCTCATATATCAGGCAATAAGTTAAACGCATGACATGAGTAACATACGTGTATATGCATATACATATGTGCTTGTGCATATTTACTAATACATAAATGTACGCGCCTGCATACACATGCGTATATCATATACGAACATACCTATATCCATGTCTATATCTACATGGCTACATGTATACAGGTGCCTGCTATATGGATGGGGCCCCCTACGTTTGGTCAATAGACCAACAAACCAATTCCTTCCCCTATGGGCCAGAGCAATTGGTTCATTGGTTGTTGGTTTATTGGTGTATTCGCCTTCCCACTCCCATTACGACTAGACGTCAAAACCCAGCAGGGTGGTTCTAACCATAATCACTAAACCAATAAACCAATAACCAATACACCGATTGCCCGCCCCGTATTGCCAGAATTGATTTGCTGATCGGTTTATTGGTGCTGCCTCTCCATCTAGTATCACGAAAGTTTAATTCAGGCCGGTGGATATACCAACTACCGATAACCAACGACCAATAACCCAACAAGGCATTAAGCAATAGATCCTTACGCCACTAGCCAATAAACCATTATGGCTGAATTGGTTTATTGGTCATTGGCTTCATTGGTTTGATTCTTTTAACTAACCCTTCCATCCACGGGCATGTTGGTTTGTTGGCTAATTAATCGGTTGTTTTCTCCCATCACTATCACAAAGGTTACAACTACACGGGTGGCTATAACAAGATATGCGGCTTGGTTAGGCATTTGGTCCTTCCCAGCAATGGGCCCACATATAGGATCCATTGATTTATTGGTTTCTTCCCCGTAAACAAAACCTAGGAGATCAATTATGTCTTGATACATGAAGTATTGACGGGGTGCTGTACTTCTATATTCATACAAGTATACATGATGGTCTTAAGCTTCCAATGTAGAAAACATATGAGACAATGGTACAGAGCACTGAGGCATCATGAAGGACCGCTGCGCATAAAAACATAGTAGTCGAATTAAACTTAGATTCGTTTGATCATGCGAAGAATTTCGAATCTAGTGCTTCACTGCAACCTACTGTTTATAAGTACAAGCCCAGGCATACTGCATAGAAAGATGCAGCTTTCTGTATGATATACTGCAGAAAGCATCTTTGCTAGCAGGCTGCGGGCCTCACATGCAGATGGCAACATTGTCAACAGCCCTGAAACACAAAGAACATATGATAAGATGAGATACGGCCCTAACGCATGATGACGAGTAGCCTTTTGAGATACAACTTAGTGCCACCAACACAAAACTGAATCGCTTCGTCAGGCTTAGAACATCTAGTCCGTCACTGACGCATCTCTGCACATATAACGAATACAGGTCAGCATCATTCAACTGAAGATACCTTTACACCGTTGCATGACAAATCCAACGTTAAGTCATCGCAAAGCACCGTGAACAGTTGCATACAAGCTACTTAACATGGCCATACATGCGCCGCTCCATCGCTCTGCAACCGCGTTTGTCCATACGCAGTCATCGTACATGGCATGTATGTTGGCGCAGGCAAGGTTTGCTTAAAGCGACCATGTGGAGTTTGGTCCTGAAGTTTGCCTCACCCGGCCCCTGGAGGAATAGGCTCAGGACACTGATGCCTGTAGCCAGCCTTAGGGGGTTCTGCTGCACCTAGTAAAACCGAGTAGAACCTGGCCTTCTGCCTGTTGCTGTGCGAACTCATACACTGTGATAGATTGGCGGACAACTTCTCCCTTCGGGGATGCAGCCCGCAGCTGGCCTCCCTAAAGTGTGGACGTCGCTTTGCGTTTGGTTTTGTAGGGGGTGGGATAGCTTTTTTGGTTGCTGGTTCAGTCCATGCTGGCTTGTGCCAGATGTCCGGTCCGCGCAGTTGCTGTCCAATTAACAATGAATGCATGCACACGGTTGTGTTTGACCCGGGCTCTTTGCCTTAAAAGTTCGAGCATGAAAACAAACACACACACACACACACACACCCTCACACCCTCACACCCTCACCCACACACACACACACACACACACACACAGAGAGACACACAGAGTCACAGTCACACTCACACTCCCGCTCACTCACTCACACGCCCACACCCACAGCAACACCCACGCCAACACACACACACACACAAACACACAAAGAACACACACCCCACACACGGTAATACATAATGATAAAGATGTACCATATAGTTCCAATTGTATATAAGATATATAGAACATGATATCGAACACAAAAGATATCGCATGTGATCTACTGATCCACAAGATACAATAAGAACACGTAATAATGCCATGTCAGATCATGGCCGGTCCCTGCCTTTATCTTCGACCGAATCGTGTCCACCACACTTTGCGGCAATGTATTCCTGCTTGCAGAGACTTCGTAGCAGAATGCCATGGGGATGCACGACAACGGCGCAATGCAAGTACGAGTAGTTTTGGCCGATTCGCTACTTCGGGAACACTTCGAGCGCTTCCAGTGTACTTTGGCTCAGGCCAGCACTTGCTGCTTGTAGTTGGCTGTGGCGAACACTGGCTCTTGTTTTGGCGGGGCTTACGGTTGACCTCATATTTTGCATGATTGTTTCAGAATTTGGTGACCCGCAGCCAAGAGATTTCTGAGAACTTTGCAAAGCAATCCAGCTTGAAGGAGTCATCCTCGACCTGTTCCACCAGAGTTCAACGTGGCGGTGCAAGAACAGGCAGCTTCTCGCCTTGCTCAAGCCAAGATCCTGATTCAGCTTCTCCTTAAGTAGGCCATGTCGGCCCGAGAGAGATTCTGTGCCTCAGACGTCTGCAAAGTGTGAGTTCTGGGTCGCTATTCTGTTGCTAATACGTTGTCCTCAGCAGCCAAGAACCAAGCCGAGAAAGGACACAAGCTCGGCAATGTCGACGTTGCCAGAAGCATTGGTGTCCAACCTTGGAGAGCAGTGTCGGAACATCCATGAGCAGGCATGCCACCAAGGCTTTTGTGGGCGAGGCGTAACACACAAAGATGAGATCTGGTAGTCATTGAGTGTGGATGGCGGAATCCTGCCCGGATTTGCGCCGAGCGATCTTGAAAAGATCTGCTGCCTACAAACGGGCATGTTCTTGATCCGGTTTGCCAACGTGTAGTCGCTGATCACATGCGCCAAGCCACCAAGAGAACTCAAACCCGTGCACACCCAGCTAGCAAGAGAGAGCTGTGAATCAGAGGACACCAAGGGTCTAAGTTCTAAGGTCTCAGACTCTGCAGGTGATGCAACTGGAGCAAGTGAAAATCGGAAAGGACTACTGAACAAGCTGCCTGCAAAGATTAACGTCTCATGCACAAGCTGAAAGCAATCCAAAAAGAACAGGAGGATCTGCGCCAGGACAACGATGGAGCCTTTTCTCCAAGCTTGGGATGGTCCCGGGGCTGGGAAGCATGCCGTGCCTCAGGATTCGACGCAAGGCGCCTCTCACCTCGTCGAAGCAAAGCGTGCCAGAGCCATCCTGCATCCAGAATCTTGAGCACAGAAAAGACGACAGCAAATGTGCAACAACACTCAACCTCTGATGCTATTGCTGCAGTGCCGCTGCAGGTCGGATCCTTGTCAAAGCGCTTGAAAATGACATCATAGCCTTGCTTCGGTCCTGTCGCGATCATGGTGATTGAAGAAATCACCAACAGTCACACGGTATTCAGCATCGGAAAGCCGGTCCAACATACGCAGCGGACTTGATCTTGGAGCGAATCCTTGTGACATGCAGGGCTTCGCCTCAGGATCCTGCGTATGTTAAGTGCAGCTTTGCAGTGCAGCCGAGCATCAGAGCGAGGGACTCTTGCGATAGGTGGCCAGCCACCGGTGCCTGCCAGCAAAGAAGAGCTCTTCGCACCGCGATCGATGTCTAGAACTGGAAGTCTCCTTGCATTTTGAAGCCTGCGGCCCAAAAAACACATGACCGGCACTGGGCCATCGGCGCGAGATGCTGTCTTCGATCTCGACGCTGAAACGGATGACTTGCTTGCATCCTTCTGCACCATCAATGTTTTTGGGTTGGCCCAGCTCGTCCAAAGTTCATTTCAAGAACCGCTCAAGGGCATCGGGTTCCTTGTTGCAGGCGATCTTGGAGCACTGCCTGCCAGGTGCACCCTGGTCCAAGTGTCAGGCTAAGCGAAGCTAAGTGCTGAGGTCTGCACATGTCGATGTTCCAAGATGCCTTCCAAGGAAGCTCCCGGCTCCCGGCTCGACGAAGAAAAAGTTGCTGAAGAGCCAAGAGGCTGTGACGGCTGCCAGCTGCAGCTGCAGTCGATCGCTCGAACTGCGCAGTTGGGACCTTTGCCCACGCTTGCATGATCTTGCATGGCTGCCAGCTCATGTTCACACAACGAGGCGAGATGCAGCAACTCTCGCATCTTGTCGCACTTGCTGCTCAGGACATGCACCTGACTCATAACTGTGCCATGATCTGCTGTTCCACTTTCACGAATCACAGCACCGTGACCATCTTACTTGCGTTTTCCAGGATGCCCTCCCAAGACAGGCACGTTGCTCTTCGCGTTGTGCATGTGCTCCTTCAGAGGCAGGGTTTGGGATTCCGCGACCAACCCTCCGCCAATTGAAGCTGCTGATATATGCTGATGCTGGCTCATGCCGCCGCTAGGGCCTCTAGGGGCGGTGAACGAAAGCTTAGCTGCATTGACACTCTCGTCACCCCCTCTTTGAAACAAAAACCTCGGTCCTGCATTCGGTCCGAGGCGCTGAGGCGCATGTCCTGCAGCCACTATCAACTATCAATCAAGTGTTCCACAGACAAGGCTCCTTCAACTTCCTGACCAGGCAAGTCCTGCTGCACGGCAAGTGGCAAGCGCTGATCAAACCTGAGCTGCAAGGCCGCAAGACAACATGTCCCAGATGGCAAGCCGCAGGTAGATATCACAAGAAGAGATGTGCCTCTCAAGCGGAATTTCCTGGCTCTGTTCCCACTGCTCCAGCGACCTGTCTGTGCATTTGTTCAGGCATAGGTTAAACGGCGAAGTGGTGTCTGACACGAGACCGAGCGAGTTTGCACCATGTTTAAGAGCGGAGCGTTCTCTGACCTTTGATCTCCTTCTGCATGTGCTGAAGGAGTGCCTCTGTGCGGTTGATATCCAGCTGACCTCGGCTTGGGGCAATGATCTGACGACCATACTGTAATACTGGACAACACTTCACCCAAATGTGTGGGCCAAGAATGGCTTCTACTGTCGAAGCCTTGTGCAACACTTTCCTCCAGTTCACGCTTTTGCTGAGAGAGGTTGAAGATGCTTGCCTGCATACCTGGCCAGCTTGCGACTTGCGACAAAAAACGCAAGCTTCTTCATGACAAGTCCGCAGGGGAGCATGACTGACAAGCTTCTCGAGCGGTCCTGACCTGTTGAAGCAGGCAGGCACTGCTTCCGCATTACAGCGTCCAGCTGCCTGTTGCTTCGCCCGCACAGATAGCTCGGCCTTGGCTAGCCAAACTGGTGACTGATGAGTGTTTGCCTGAGGCTTCGACTGCATCGTCGAGGAATTTGGCCGCGTCTCTCTCCAGCTGCTGTGTCCTCTGGCAAACTTGAGCCTTCCAGAAAGCATTGCTCCTGGAAGCGGCCTTTCCAATAATTCGTTGGTGTGCTTTACCTCAGGTGCGCATCGGGAGTACATCAATCCAAATCGTTGCAGCCCTCGGCAGGTCAGCAGTAGTCAAGCAGCAGATCTGTGAATGTTCTCACTGGTCTCCTCGCCTTGGGCTGTGGCTGAAAGTCAGCAAGCAGTCTTGGCGATCAAACCCTGAGGCCCTCACTCCAGGTCTCCTCTTTGTCTAGGCTTTTGTGGGTGGTGCCAAACTTGAAAGGTGGCATGTCGTAGCCCGACTGCCTGGCCGAAGTGCCGAAGACTAGAATAGAAACAAGATAACTTCCTTGCTTCCTGCTCGTCCTTTGCAGGCAAGAGGCACAGCGCCATCGGCTGAAGTGGCGCCGTTCTGCCTCAGAGGAGTGCCCGTCAGTCAGAATGCCCTGCCGCATCTGAGAGGGTGATCACGACTTCTTCTGCAAACCTCGACTTTTCAATGCCCTGATGCAGACTTTGTGCGAGGTTGGGTAAACTCTTTGCCCAACGTGTCAGATTCATTGACTTACTTAGATGTGGCAGCGGAGCAAATGGCTGAGTAAAATTTGCCGAGGCGGTCGGTACTGCTCAGGTCCAGAACCATTCTATCAGGAGTGCAACTGTGGGGCTGCGTCCGTGAATGTCGTGGCATCAGGCGGAATGCCGCTTGATGCAGGCCCATTCTGCTGGAAGGGGTTGGCATCATGGCCCAAGACCAGATGCGATGAAGCTCGCTGCTGCCGCTGACTTTGAGTCGGCTCCCACAAGCTCTGTGACTGCGAGGGCTTGCTTCGCAAACCGATGCTTGGACCACGAGTTGCCACAGACACAAGGCTGGCGGATGTGCTGGTCGAGATCAGTCTCGGACTTGCCGGCACCAGGATACCACTGGGTATCCCAGTGCCAGGGAGAAGCGGGCTTGACGAGTCTTTGGGTTGCAAAGGCCTTTCCCGCGACACCCTGGGTGTCATGATGGTCGAGCCCGAGGCTTCCTTTTGCAGTATTGTGCGGCCACGGGGCATCGCAGCAACTGTTGTAGTCTGCAGCACGCCCGGCATGTAGACTCTTCGAGATGACTGAGGATGCTCTTCCAGTACATCTTCGCTGCCTAAGATAAGCAGGGTCTCAAGCATCCAAAATGCACTGTTGCGTGGGAAATGCTGATGCTTCTTGATTTTTAAGGGGGGCCTTCTCCAGTGCGATCCGCCACCACAGCCACAGCCCGCTCAATCAAATCTCCGCTCAACTGCTCGCCACGCTCGGCAGCCAAAGCGTTACCGAGCAGCAGGCAGCCTTCGATACAGGCATGACGGAAGCGTCTGCTGCTCTTTTTGTCGTTCAGTCTCGGCACCAGTCTGAAAGAACACTCTTAGACAGAACGCATCATTTCATAGCTTTGCATGTTTGGGAGTTTTGGCGGGTGAACAGCCACCAACAGACATTCATTGCACGTGCACCCTTCGTCCCTCAAGCCACGTCTGTCTCTGTAGGCTCTCTTTTGCTTTGCTTTACTCTGGGGGATGGGGCAAAGCCCCGCGCGTTTGCGCACCCCCATCTGGGAACCGCTATGGAGTGGTCCCCGTAAGAGGGGTTTGTTTGCTGGCAACGTGTTTGAATACCCCGAAATCGGCATGAAAATTGTATCGGCATCACACAGGTCAGGAGGGAAACCCGTGCTTTAATTATCGGCCCTGCAGTCTTGTGGCCTGCCGCAGGCACACACCACTCTGTTGGTAGTACTGTTGAGGTCAGTTTAGACTGCAGCGGTCAGTCTAGAACGTTACACTTGGGTCAACTTTGGATGGGTCGCGGCTCGGAGTTGCCCCAGTCGAGTTGCAAGGGGCCTTTGCGGTTTGTTCTGCTCGTCAGCGCTGTCTCTTTCAAGCCTGATGACCGTTTCACGACCCTTGGTGCCATGTCTGTGCCCGCACCTGCTGGGTCTTTCTTGCCGTGTCCTGCTGGGGCTCCACGGTCTCGGCGGTCAAAAACAAGAAGGTATGTAGTGTTCCCGCGCTACGGTAGACTGGTCCAAGCATCCCAGGTATCAACCAGTGTCGAAAGTTCGACGAGGATCCAGCAACCATTATGCGCCGTAGTATCCCAAGATCCCCAAATACTCAACGTGAAAGGGAAGCCTTTCCCAGCCAGTCATAAAATGAAAAACCAAGGGGCTCGCAGCCGCCATGCAGTCAGTTAATCAGGCAGACATGCAGCAACCACAGGGGTCATGGTTCTGTGAAGCTCCCAAATGATCAAGTCTTGTAAGTCTGTCAAAGCAAGAGCGGTAAGGAATGGTGAGATAGGATACGTTGCCAAATACAGGACTGGAGGGCTCTACGAATATTTAGAGTCAAATTTAAGGCCTCGCCAAACATGTTCAGCAAAAGGCCGAAGGGTGCAAGGGAAAAGTTGCGTTGCGGATGCAGGACTGGGGCTGGGGGGGGGGGCTGCTCTACATCTTTCGAAACTTTATGTAGAACCCCAACTAATTAATGTTCAGCAGAGGGCGACGCGTCGAACAGCAAACCAGCAAGTGTTGCAGCACCCCATGGTTCCAAGGCCCGTCTCAGTGACAAGCCAAAACCAAAGCTGTCCGATCTTCGTGCCCGCGATTTGGCCGGAGTACTGCTTGACCAGTTTGTCGCCTCTGACTGTGAGTTTGTGTTTGCGGACAAACTCGGCTAGTGCCAGTATCCCCGTTCTGTTCGCATTGGGGTGGGCCATTGCCGCCTCCAGCAGCAGCCTGTGAGCAGCTCACACCCTCGCGCCGCCCCCGCTTGCGTGAAGGACACATGCGGGTGTGCCCCCTGTCGTGGCCATGACGCTTAGACCCCGCCCCTTGCGTCACTCCAGTCGAGCATCTAGGGCAAGTCTCCACCATCATCGACGTAGAGAGGTTTCGCGGGCTTCGGCGGTCAACTGAAGCTTGAGCGTCTGGTTTGGCTGAGGGTCTCGTGGGCGGTTGGCCTCAAGCCTCCCGTCAGGTTTGCTGGTGGACAGCCGGTTTTCCACAAGGGTGAGAGACTTGAACCAAAATGGCTACTCTCTTGCTTGCTTGCTTGCTTGCTTGCAGGGCGTTTGGAGGTATGGGGAGACGCGCCCCCACCCCCCTGCGCCGCTGCTGTCCGGGTTTGTCAAAGTCGGCGAGAAACTGTGGGGTTCGGTGCAGGCCGTGCAACATCTTGCTCCCCTGAAGCCCCCGAGCTACTCTTTTGATCGCGTATAACGACCTGCCACCTGCCTCGTACTTCTTGACTGCACCGAACCCCTCTCTTTACTCCCCGGCCTTGCCGGGTGCTGTTCACTGCCAGGGGCTTCGTTCTCTGTAGCAGCACATTGATGCCAAACATGCGCATGTGGTAACCTAGAAAGTGTTCACAGGCCCCGTTCACAGCACAGTTTGCTCCGTGGCAGGGGCTACTCTCTCTCTCTCTCTCTCNNCTTGCTTGCTTGCTTGCTTGCTGGCGAGGCGTTTGGGGTGCGAGCGGGACCTCCGCCCCCCTGCGCTCTCGCGGTCGCGCTACGCCTGGGTTCGTGTCCGGTGTCCGCGTGAAACGCAGTGTTGGTGGGCCCGGAACCAGCTGTTCTCACTTGAGCCCCGAATCCCCAACACCCTGAAACCCCGCCTTGCACAACTCGCTGGTTCCGGGCTCCACTCTGTGCTGTGCACCGCGGTTACTGGTCGTTGCCGAGTGTCTCGGTGCCCCTCATCTTCGGCTCTTGGAAACAGGTGGCTGAAAAAGACTGTCCAGGGTAGATACCGCTGAACACAACTTTCACTCAAGTGCCGGCCTTTGCTGTGAGCGTCTCGGTGCTGGTTTCTGAACTACGGGCTTGGGCCCCGAAAACTCGCTCTCTTTGCTTTGCTTTGCTT